CTCACAGGGAATATAATGGTTGAACCGGTAATATTTCGTAATTTTTCCCTAGACATTATTTTCTAAAAAATCTTAGTTTCCAGACAACATTTTCGCTGTTTTGATTTAGTTTTCGCTTATTATTTCTAAACGCGCTTTTACTGTTTCAGCGCAATTTGGAAAACGCTGGGAACGCAATCATCTGCCGCGAAAACGATTCGCCACAGCTACGAGAAGCACTTTCGAAACTGGCTGAAGTTTCAAAACAGGATGGAGCGCTCATTCTCGCACAACTCTCGCACGTTAGTTGCATGGCCTTTCCTGGATTATTCCTAAATTGATGAAGCATTCAGGCTGGAAGGCAAACTCCCTTCACGGTGAATGAGTACCCATACTCAAGCTCTGATGTGCAATTGAACAGCTCTATCATAGATGGTGGTAAACCCGTACCATTGGCATTGGACCAGCTGAAAACTGAAGTGATCGATCGCTTTGTTTTTGCCGCAAAAGTAGCCTATGAAACAGGTTTGTATAACTCAAACTTATAGTTCCCATTATATCTGGCACTTGTACTCGCCGATTTGAAATTAGGATTCGATGGGATAGAATTGCACGCTGCACACGGCTACCTTCTTTCCCAATTCATGTCTCCTACAGCGAACAAAAGAAAAGATAGATATGGTGGTTCCTTGGAAAATAGATTTCGGCTTATCGCAGAGATATATCGAGCTATCAGGTGCGAGATCGATAACAGTAGCAGAATTTTGTTCAATTAGCTTTTAGTTTTCACAGTTCATATACCTTAGGAAACAGATACCACCAACTACTGGTTTTATTGTTGGAATCAAAACCAATTCCGTGGAGTTTCAAGCAAATGGGTTAACCATCGAAGACGCAAAGGAAGCCTGTCTTATGATAGAGGTCAGCTCATTCTCATGAACTGGACAGTAAACGTTATGAAAAAAGAGAAGGCGTTGCTGTTAGCTGTAGATAGAACGAGATAACGGAGTCAATAATCAAAATAATCTAAAGTTCTAAGTTTTAGAAAATTAACTAGTTTATGTCATATTTTCAATTGATATGTAGTAGCTGTTAAGGGTTTTCTAGCTTGATATACTGATAGTACTTACCTCAATACGTATTACGCGCCAATTCAGATGTTTTTGCCCGTTTGAAGCCTCATGTAACATTTCTTGTTATTTAAACACGGCCAAAACTGGCGTACATTTGTAATCCATCTAGGAACGTAAGCTGATGTTTTTCAAAAACCTCTCTCAGCTGTCATTCGCCAAATACTTGTTGTGGTGATGTCACAGTTAATACAGTTTTTCTACTAACTAACTAATTCTGCGCAAATCTAACACTTCAGCTGATTGACGAAATTCAAAGCTTTCAATGCTTGTCTGAATAGCAATTCAAACTAACTGTCATAAACTAACTAATTATACAGTTGTTGAAGACCGCGCGAGAGCTTAGCTTCAGCTCTCTA